TTGCAGCCTTTCTCGGTACCAGGCCCTTCAGAGAATCTAACTGTCATCTCTTTATTATCCATGACCTTCACTGGCAGCCTCACTTGTAGAGCACATCAAGACTTTTTAAAAACTTATTACTAATTTATTTTTATTTTTAAAAATATGTTTTAATTATTTTAAAAATTATTAAGTACTAATTATTAATAAAGAGTAATTTCTAATGACTATAATGAATCACAAAATTTTAAAGTTTACTTTAGTTATAAAAGTAATATTTGTTCCTTATAAACAAAACTAACATGCAAAAACAAATATTAACCTTCTCTGACTTCTCTCTATTCTTCACACCTGAGGTAACAGAAATAAATAGTTTATATATAATCTTATAAATATACATAAATATGTATACGTAATTTTGTGGTTTGATATTTACAAATGTAAAATCATAGTGTACATATGACTCAGCAATTTGTTCTTTTTCACTTAATATATCATGTATATCTTTCCAGATCAATAGGTATATTTGTTAGGATGTTTGGTTGCTATATCAAAGATATTACAAAATATAGACACTTAAATGAGACGTAGGCTTACATATCTGTAATGGTTAATTTTACGTGTCAACTTGACTGGGCTAAGGGATGCCAAGATAGCTAGTAAGACATTATTTCTGGATATGTCTGTGGGAGTGGTTCCAGAAGGGATTAGCATTTGAATTGATGAACCAAGTAAAGCAGATGGCCATCCCCAGGGTCTGTGGATATCGTCCAGTCTGTTGATGGCCCCAAAACCCATGGCCCCTACTCTTGCAACACTGCCTTCTAAAGCCTCATGTGGAGTTTCCAACAATCAGTTGAAGAGGAAGAAAAATCTCAGAACTGATTTACAGGTGGTTGGTTCTTCATGAGATTTAGGCACCACCTAAAAGTAGACAGCTGTAGCACTCCAGCCCCTTTCTGGGTCATCCCTGAGGGACAGTGGTGAAGGAGAATTCTCTGAGTGAGAACTTTGGACAGTGCACTTGGTATTCACTTTACCTGAAAGGAGAAATGGCCAGACATATGATTACATACCAATTCATCGGCTGCAGCCAATGGTTTGGCTGGATAGTCAGGGACTTGAACATGATTGGAAAACTGGTAGCAATGAAATTCGAGGAAGAGGTATGTAGCCCTCAATGAATGGACAAAAAAGTAAACACTAGCCAAAGGGTAACCTCAGCAGAGGAGGATTTTAATAATCAGGTGGATAGAGTGACCTATTCTATGGATACTAGTCAGCCTTTTTCTCCAGCCACCCCTGTCATCACGCAGTGGGCCCACAAAGAGACCATGGTGGCAGGGATGGAGGTTATGCATGGGCTCAGAAACATGGGCTTCCACTCACTAAAGCTGACTTGGCCATAGTCACTGCTGAGTACCCAATCTGTCTGCACTAGAGATCAACACTGAGCCCTCTATATAGCACCATTGAAAACCACAAAGATTTTCTCATCAGTAACCATAAACAGTGAAACAATATATTTAAAGTGATGATAGAAAAGAATTCTCAACCTAGAATTTTATATCCTGAAATAATAACCTTCCAGAATGAAGGTGAAATAAGAAAACATTCTCAAAGGAAGAAAACGAATGGAATTTGTCTCCAGCAGATCTATTCTAAAAGAAATGCCTTCAGGCCAAAGGGAAAGGATATTCAAAGGAAATTTATATCTTCAGAAGTGAAGAAAAAACAACAGAAATGGTAACCATCTATTAATATAAGTATAAAATATACTATACATAAGTATAAAATATTATTTTTTCCTCTCGAGTTCTTTAAAATATATATGGCTGTTGAACACAAAAATTATAACATTGTCTGGTGGGGTTTCATTGTATATGCATTTAAAATAAATGACAACTTTAATATAAAGGTCAGTGGAGTATTAGAGGAAGTATATATATGGTTGTAAGGCTTCTATACTTTAGTTGAACTGGTAAATCTTAACTCTAAATAAACTATGAAAGTTTAGAAATATATATGTAATCCTAGAGTAATCACTGAAGGGAAAAATACAAGGAAAGATAGTCAAAAAGCAAATAGATTAGGAAAGAATATGAAAAATTTCTCCAAAGATCCAAAAAGAAGGCAGAAAAAGAGAAGAGAATGATAAATGCAAATAGTCTGAATATATCAATTAAAAGATAGATATCATCAGATTGAATAAAAAACAAGCCCCAACTATATGTTATTTATGAGAAACCCCTTTTACATATAAATACACATGCACAGGTTAAAAGTAAAGGCTGGATAAAGATATACCACGCAACACTAATCAAAAGAAAGCTTGAGTACTTATACTGATATCAGACAAAGTGGATTTCGGAACAAGGGATACTACCAAGAAAACATGATGCTACCAAGAATAGGAGTGATATTACAAAATGTTAAAAGGTTAATTCGCCAAGAGAACATAACAATCATAATTGTGTTTGTACCTAATAACAGAGCTTCACATTGCCTGAAGCAAAAATTGATGAAATTGAGTTCAACACTCTTCAAAGTAATTGTTAGAATAAGTAGACAGAAACAAATCGAAGAATTAGAAGACCTGAATGACACTATCAACCAACTGGATCTAATTGTCATTTACAGAACTCTCCCCTAACCCTTGCAGAATACACACTCTTTTCAAGTGTACAAAAAACATTCACCAAGATAAATTATTTTCTGGGCCATAAAACAAACCTGAATACATTTAAAGGAATTGCAATCTAGAAAGTGTGCTCTCTGACCGTAATGGAATTAAACTAGAAATCAATAACAGAAAGATATCTGGAAATCTAAATATTTATAAACTCAAATTTAATAAATATTGCCTGAATGTTTCCCCAAAGGCTTTAGCAAAGCAAATTCCTATGTGTGAGAGTGTTTGTTTCTTGAAGAGAAGTTCTTTCTTCAAAGGTTGTTTGGAGGACAAATAAGATTCATCAGTGATCCCTTTGGTATAAACACCTTAGAAGAGGAAATATATATAATAGAATAGCATGAGATTTGGGGCTAACTGGTTATGTGACCTTAAGGAAAACACTACACCTCTCGAAATTTCACTTCACCATAGCAAAGAGTCACTACTGAAGCCACCGGAGTCTGATGACTGGGCTACCACTCCTGTCACCATTGCTTACTAATATGTTACCATTATTGGGCAAATTAATTAACTTCCCTGAGCTTCAGTTTTATCACCTGTACAATAATAATGATTCAGGTCACCCTAAGCCCTGGTTTGCCTGGGACGGTCCTGGCTTATGCTTGTTGTTCCGCTATCACTGTTGATAGTGTCCTGGTTGCAGTGATAAATATATGCTCGCTCTAATAACACTACCTACATATTACAGGGTTGTCGACAGGAGTAAGTCAGCTATTTTGTATAAAATGTCTAGAATGGTGCCATGCAGTCAGGATCATAGCCACCTTTTCAGTATATCTGAGTGCCCGCTATGGTCCAGGCACTTTCCCAGGTGCGAGCTACGGGGGGTGGGGAACAGGACAGACACTCGGGGTGTGGGGCCCGGTGTGGTGGTGAAGTGAGCAGGCTCCGATGCTAGACTACCAGAGGATGAATCCTGGCTCTACTCACTATTGGCTGTGTGACCTTGAGCAAGTAATTTTAGTTCATATCTGTCCTATGAGTTGTGATGAAGATTGAATGGGTTAATACTTGCAAAGCACTGAGACTAATACCTGGTACATAGTAGGTGCTATATACATATTCGTTAAATAAAATAAATAGAACTTACATTCTAAATGTTAGGAAGATTAGATGCATTGGTATATGCAATGGTTATATGTATTTATACTGGAGACTTGTCTTTTTAAACTAAAGTTGTTCATCCTGGTGGTTTTCCCAAAACAAAAGAAGACGCCTCCCAAGGTGAATGATGTCTCCTCCACTTCTAGAGCCAGAAGACTTCCAGGAGCTTTTAGAGGGCAATTTTCCTAACTTAAAAAAAAAAAAAAAAAAAAAATTACCATCCCATAATATTTTCACAACAACCATAGAAAATAGATATTAATATGGTTCTTATAAGGAAACTGAGGCTGAAAGACTCTCCAAAGTTATAGAGCTTTGTGTCTTTTTGATCAAGTTTTTGGCGAAAGTGTTAAGGTGACTGTGGTATTTAAGTGTGCTTGCTAGAGGACAGCAAGCCAGCTTCATTTGCCGAATCAGGCCAGAACAAGTTCAAAGAAGACATCAACTACGCCCGCGTGAAGAAGCTAGACTGTTCCATTATTGGAGGTGGAAAAGCTGTAATAACGAAACCGTAATTCAAACACAGGCAGTCTAGCTCCAGAGAACATACGTAGAACATTGCAGTGACAGGAAAGAAAGGGACCCTGAAGCCAATCAGTGCTATGGATCCAACAGTCAGCCTTTGGCTTTCATGGGAGGGGACAGCACACCCACGCCCATGTGCCGCCTGCAGCCTAACGACTTCCAACTTGGTGTTTAAGGACCCTCCCCACCCACCAGCTCCCAGGCTTTTTCATAGATTTCACCCATCACTATTTCCAACACCCATAAGCACAGAAGCACTTTCTTTTCTGTCAGGAGACTCCAAACATTTTGAATGGCTAATGCACATGGACCTAATTCAGACTTTGCTGACTGAAGCCTGACCACCATGACGACCTTTATTCGCCATAATATACGCACACCTATGCGGTTAGCAATGCTTCTGCCCTCACCCTCCATCTCTTGGAATGTGTAAAATGTGCCTGTGAAATATCCTAATCCTTTTTACTCTGAGTGCCTTTTTCCCTGGAGCCTTGCAAGTGCTCTCTCTTCTAATGGCCTGTTTTTAAGGGTCTCCTCGAGACCGGAGATGAGACCAGAGATGATACTCAGGCCTTAAATCTAATGGCATCAGAGCCTGTCCCCATTTTAAACATTTCTAATAGGCTCAGAAAGAAGCCCAGGAAAATGGACTACCTTATCCTTGGTTTCTCATGTGCCCTAGGGAAGTCCTGGTTTAGAAGACGCCCTTCTAACTCTATGAGAAACTGCAACTGCTGATGACATCTGACTCTGGCCGCTGTTTGATATCCCTGACATAGGTCACAAGCTTTTGACCCATCTTCCAGTCTTCTCTGGACAATTGCGTGGTTTTTCACAGATCCGAAGAGAAGAACAAAGGGCAAAGACTGAAAAATCTCAGAGTTATAAAAGAGGAAGAATCGTAGATGTTTTTTTCTTATTCAAAATGCGTAATTTTAAAGATGTATTGATGTTGCTTGACAGTCCCCGTAAGAAAAACTTACTTTCTTTTCTTAATTCTGCTCCTGGACTTCCTTCCAGCTATTAGATGAAGTCAGAGGTGAAGTCCATTGAGTAATTCCAGGCTCTGCTAGAGACCCTATGATTCACTCAGTTCTGAATTACTTGGTAACCTGACGGCGGATGTTACCTTTTTTATACTAGGTTGTGAATTTCTAACTCTTGAGATGCCAGGCAAAAACACTGTGAGAAGGAAAAGGATAAAAGGACGAAGAATCTGAGAAAATGTGTTTTCCTTTGGAAGCCTTTTCTGTCTCCATGCCATGGGGGACAGCGGAACCACCAAGCCCTCATTTATAATTAGCGTTAGTAAAACCAGAAGCTTTGGGGAATATTGGTTCCAGACCGAGGCATGAGTGACAACTCTTGATCAATTTTGTGAAAGAGGAGACAGGATTTTAAAAAGTTGAAATACAGAATGTCATATATTAGTTGCTAAACTCATAGGGTTCTACTTAAGATAATTCTTACAACAAATATTACAAGGGTAAATTCCTTTTAAAAAGAAACAACATATTTTTCTTTTTTGACGGGGAGAGCAATGTACTCTTTTCCTGGAAATTACCAAAGCTACAATGCGTCATTGATGTATATCATGCTGATTAATGCCTGATGGGTAAGAGAAATCCAAGAGTGAAGTAGTTCAATGTTGTCACCCAACGGGTGGCGACACCTGCTGGAGCCTCCAGAGTGAAGTTCATACTATCTCCTGTGTTTTACCAGGGTCAGAAAGAGCCCAGTAAGAGTCTGAGAAGAGTGGAGCCTGGAGCTGAGCGTGGAAAGGGTTCGTTTGAGTGGAAGTAGCTTGTGAACTCGCTCAGAAACCTCCTCTGAGCTGTTAGGGTTGTCTTCCTCTGCCAGCTCCAGGACGTCCAGTGAAGTAGTTTGGTTTTCCCTTTTGCAGTGAGATCCAGCCAATTGGCCACATGGTGCTCATTCCACATTTACTGCTCAAATACAGGCAAGTCAATCCATTTACCTCTCTAAAAATACTGGGGTCTAAGGTTATGCTCCTAGAATATTCAAGAAAGTGAGACACATGGGGCATGTGGAAGCTCCTGGGGCTTCCTGGCATTCAGGAGCAGGGCAATGGGTCATGCTGTGCTTAATGATTAGGTTTTTATCCTATAGCTCTGTACCATTTACGACATTATTGGGGTGGGGGGACTTGCTTTGGCACTACATAAATATGTGAAATTATTTTTACCAGCATTCTTTCGATCCGGAGGCACCATTGTTTGGTGGGAAAGATATAGCTTTGGAGTAAAGCAGTATTTTACCTCTGGTGCCTCCATGCAGCAGCTCTGGGACCTCAGAAGCTGAACACTTTATTCTTCTAACCTCCATTCCTCATTGGTAAATG